TATGCTGGTTGTTGAAAATTCATTTTTCATCCTTATGGCAATCTTTTCCCCAGTTTTATTGAGAAATAATTGACAGACATCACTGTATAAGTTTAAAGTGTACAGCATGATGCTTTGATTTGCATAGATTGTGAAATGACTACCACAATAGGTTTAGTTAACACCCTTCATCTGATATAGACATAAAGAAAAGAAAAGGAAAAAATATTTATCCTGAAAATGCATTTTCAACATAGATATCTTAAACTCAGTATCTGAAGTTATGTAACTTTCTTACTTCACACCAAGTAGGACTTGAACATCATGGCACGTAACTGAGGAAACCCCTCGTTAAAGGATAGAGGAACCGGAATAAACCTCCTTTCTCTCTCTCTGAGCATCTGCACACCTAGTTGATGGTTCACAAGGGAGTGGCCAAAAGGATTTAAAAATATCATATATGCCTCTAGGCAATTGTGTTTCCCCCTTTTATTTAATACTGCCCACAGAAGAACCCTGTTTTTAGTGCACTGTAGCCAGAAAACAAGCAGTTAAGTTTGAGAGGCATTTATGGGGCGTCTGGAAAATGCTGACACTGGGAGAGGGGCTCTGCGAACACAAAGTCCTTGGTTGGTGGGAAATCTCAAACCCAGGACTGGGAGTCTAGATGATCTGTTTTTAATTTTTACTTTTGGAAAGGATGCAATTATTTAAAAGTCTTTTATGTTTATGACTAACGTATATATGTGAACTGTTTACATTAGGAAAATGGGAAAGCTTTCATTTGCTAGTTCAGGAGCAGAGTGAGCATTAATATTATTGTAAATGACTGAATGTTGAACACTCCATAATTCAATAAGAAATAACCTGGTGTTAAGGTCTTGAGTTCCCAAGGACTGTCCCCTGCCCAGTCTTTTGCTGGGACAATGGAAGTACTGACCGATTCTGCAGAAGTCGCCCTCCCATCCTGGGCTGCAGCAGCACACCCCCGTGGGGGTACAGTAGCCGTTCCGACAGAGCCGGGAGCATTCAGAAGTCAGCATCTGGGCGGGTTGGACCACTGCTCGGCACTCCTCGGGCACTAGAGGTCTGAAACAAAAGACAGAAATTGGATGAAAATCAATACTGGAGTGAAATCTAGTGATTCTGTAGTTCACAAAGTATATCTCTTGCTTTCTAAGCAGACCCTTTTTTTAAGTGACTCGGAAAGATTGACAACTTTTTGGGGGGACAACTTTCTAGGGATAGAAAATACACACCAGAGAGGAAACAAACTAGCCAGTTTGAACTAAATAGGACATTAGCAAACATTGTAAGAAACTTTGTCATGATCAAAATTCATTGATTAAAATATAATTATGCTACAGTGATATTTTATATTTGCTGGCTGGCTAAAACTTCCTAGCAATTACAACTTTGACAATATAGATATATAGACATTAAAATTTTTTTTCCAGATATACAAAAATTTTTTGTAGTATCTGAGATACGTTTCACTTGTTATTGGAATATTTGGCATTATCACAAGGCTGAGGGTATTTAGCAAAACAAGTGCTTGTAGCTTAAAAAGCTTGGAAATCCATTTTTGTTTCAATTTTACATTTATTTTGAGATACATTTTTAGGCTGACTTTTTTGCAAAGGATATTGCACTGTGTATTTGTATGAGTGTGTATCCTACTGACTCAAAATTTCAAGTCTTTATGCAAAGAAATATATATATATGAAGCACATACACAAAAGTAATGAAGTGAAACAGTAAAAAAAATTTAAAAGAAAGGTAACAATTCCTGACCTTTACTTGTGGTAAATAAATTATCAAAAACATAAAGCACATATGTACAAACGTCGAAATGATGGAACTTTTTTTTTTTTAATAAATGGAGATGGTGACATAACCACGAAAGGATGTTCGTCCTAACCCGAGGACTGCCTGTATATACACAGATGAATGTGTAGATACACATTTTAAAATGTTTAATTTTATCCTGCTATGAAGGAAATGAATGCTATTGGTAGCGAAGAGAAACATCTTATCTGCTGAGTAAGAAGTCATAGATTTTTTTTAATTGCTCTATAACTGCCACCATTTAGGGAGGGATCAAGACGCCTTCGGAAGATTTTTATGGTTCTCGCTGCTTTTGAAAGAAGAGGCTGTCTTTCGAGCTGAGTTAGGCTGGAACCATGATCACAACTAACTACCCACTGTCTAATAATCTTTGGGGAAAGACATGTGGTGGTACACTTCTCATCAGGAACTGTTACCTGTGCCCCAGTGTGATGAGAAAGCTCTTGTTGGTTAAGGAATGTAAATAAACGCGCCATCACCAGTCAAATGGCCATCATCAGGCTGGCCAAAGCGGTGGGACGCCTTCAGTAGCATATCAAAGAAAGTGATAATTATAGGTCACAACCACCACAAGAGGTAATGAGGTAGCTCTCTGAGAGAAGCAAATAATTAGGACCTTTAGAGTCTCCCGTTCCTGAGATAGGTTGTCTTGTTATGCCCCTGTGGGCACTGTGAACAGCAATAATTTGGAAGCTGACCTCAGGCTGTTTCTACAATGACTCAAAATCATATTAAAAATATATAGTCACTTCTTTTACTTCTCTCAGTAAAAGTTCCAATCTGAGTTGAAAGTACTGTGCTTTACAACTAGCATGACAATTCAGAAAACCCCCTTAAATCTATTCACTCCCTTATTTAAATCTAGAAATGGTCAATTTCTAGAAAGGCCTCTAAGGCATTCCGTGGACCAAGCATATTTTTACTCAGAAAACATTAATGGATATTTTCCATGTGTTTCCCAAGGGTGTCTTTTGGGGATGAAGCGCAGGGCTGGATAAGGTGGAGAAAATACGAAAAGATTATGCCAAGGGAAGTGAGAGCATGATCTCTGACTTTTTCTTACTGTTGTTGACTAGTCCAAATCTGCTCTCTGTCTTCCTCAACTAAAGTTCTTACTCTGTGAGACAGTGGTGGTGTCTTTGACCATCAGTAGAGCCATTTGTTCAGTAGCCAGGAAGTTCTTCCGAGTCATAGGCCATGGTCATTTACCAGGTGACACTCAGTAAGCAGTGTTGTTCAAATTTTACTGGTAACTAGAATTCTGTTATCCAGTTCCACTTGTTATTCACTTGTTCACCCTTTTTGTGACCCATTAAAAAAAAAAAGAGAGACCCAGAAGTAGAATGTATCAAAAATATATTACATGTTATACGTCATGCAAAACATGGAGGCACACAGCTCATGTACTACTCTACAGTATGGCTTATGCCTGAGCAGCTGAATCTAAAGAGAAGACACCGTTTAGGCCAGGAATGTAAGTGGCTCCGGATAAAGGACAGCAATCAGAAGATGCTGCCTGTTTGAGGCAGAGTGCAGGGAAGTTGATTCCCGTGGGAATTTGCCAAGGAAAGGAAGGCAGACATGAGAATAGGGGTCCAGTTCTGAAGTGCAGTTTTTCAGGGTGGGTATCTGATCCTTGTTTCCACACTGACCCTCCAATTAGATGCTTTGACTATTTTTCACCATATATTCATATATGCGGACATAGAGCTTATGGACAGAATTCTAAGTTGTTTTTCTGCCTAAGATTTAGTAAATACTTATCTACCTATGGATGAAAATATTTCATATTTGGGCTTGCTTACTTTAGCATATATAAGATGGTATGGTTGTCATATATATAAATATTATGACTCCCTTAAGTTTTTATTTAAATACCTAGGAAAATAATCTTTTTCTTCTTTTATAAAGTTGACAACTAACATTCCTCACTTAGCATGTCCAATGAATCCTCTCTCTTTTAAACTGTTAGTCTATTGGGAATACCTTAACTCAAAATTACATAAAACATAGCCCGTTTCTTACAGAACTTCACTTCTCTTAAGGAACAGATTATCCTCTCCTTTTCCCTTCTAATTAGAATAAAGCTTTGAGGACAAAAACTACATATTCCAACCTCTTCAAGTCCAGTCATTACTCAGGCAAATACTGTGCTCTTCATGGGGATAAGATATAAACAAAACAGAATCCTGATCCTCATGGACAAACCATGGGGAAGACAGACATGCAAATGCAGACTAAACCAGTGTGATCTTTGTTACGATACAGGCACAAATGAAGTAACACAGGAATACAGAGGAGGCAATAATTAGCTTAAGATTGAGGGATGTTATAGAAAGATGATATTTAAGCCACCAAAGTATTTTATTTCCTTCAACTACTTACATTCATAGGTGCTAGGAAAATACCATATAGGCATTGAATGGATATTTATTAAATTGAACTGAATGCATATAGTAGAAACTTTCTCAAATACTTTTTCTGATATATAAACTCCATGAAGATAAACTCCCAAATTTTGATGTTACACTTTTTGATTCATTTGTCAATATTGAAAAAAGCAAGTCATTTAAGCAACAGATTTTTTAAAAACCTAACTAAAACAGATTAGTGAAAAAATGATAATATGCAGTTTTTTTCTTTAAAAATTACACCTTCCTCTAGAAAACATCTTTTTACAAATATATGTGACTGTTTCATGCAAGATTAAATCTGCCTTTATCTCAAGTACTACAACATCTGGTGATACTTGCCTTGCAATAGAAGTATAAGGTATTGAGAAGGTTTAGACGTCTCCCACCATTCCAGGCAGGGGAGAAATGTGGGAATTCCAAGAAATGCTTTTAAGAGTTTTAACTCTTAACAAATGAGTGTCATCTTGAAGAATATGGTCTTCACTATTTATATTCTCCATTTTATGTCCTTTTAACAAATGCCATTTATAAGTGGTAATTCAATCAAGTTTTCATAGCAATCTGTATAATTATTCTAGGAACTGGTATTCCAACATTTAAATTTGGTAATTTAAGAAAGACTATAATACATAGTACAAAGCAGAAAATTCCTTTGAATGCTGTGGTCATAGATCATATCTCCAGGAAATAAGATATACATATAAGAAGAATTATATAACCATTTAAAAATAACATGGTTATTTAGATATTTCTTTCCATAAATTATTATATAATATTTTCTATTTATTTTGGAATTTGTGATGGCTCCACGTAGCATTGTATGGATTCCATAAGCATGGTTTACTCAAAAACATAAACAAATCTTGGTAAAGTATGAATAAAATTCCAGTTATGTTTTGGCTCTTACCATATATTATGTATGCATGCTTATCCATTCATTAGAAATTTTGACTTTGCTCTCACCCCATTTTTTGGTAATATATCTTTAAATATGTCTTACAGCTTAGAAAGGATTTGCTGGTTAAAAAGATACTGTGCATCACAACATAAAATGTAGTACATTAAGAGTAAAATATACCCTGGCAGATATATCCACTTTTTAGTTATTGGATATGTAGAAAAATAACGATAGCCAAACTGTGGGACATGCTTCCTTGTCTTTTAGATTTCAAATCCACCATGCTGAATGGATTTTTATAGGGCATATACTTGTTCATGACCTCTAGTGTTAAGAAATTCTGTCATGTTTGAAAACTAGTCCCTAGCTGAGCCCGTGTCCCTGTTAATAGCTGAAAGGTCAATGGAGCTGCTAAACAGTTTGTATTACTGTCAGGGTGGCCATGAAAACACCGCCTGCAGCAAGAGACGTGGCAGCTGGGTCAACAGGCGCTGTGGGGATTTATCAACCTAGGGGGGCCACTTGCATAAAACTTTGACTGATGAATTGGGACTAGACTGGCTTATTGGGCTAAAGCCTCTCTATTATGCATGACTTTCTTTGGGATGGCAGAGCTGCCTGCCGGCTCCCTGAGACATATGCAGAGGATAAACAGAACCGAATTTCCTCTTACGAAGTGATTTTTTTGAAAAAAGTCACTCTTCAGCATCCAGTATTAATAAGGAGTAGGATGAAGATATTTTAAGAAAATAAACAAAGGGCAGTAAGTGGGGCCGTGGAGGGGAGCGGTAGGGAGCAGGCAAGAGGAGCAGGTTTTGATATTGGTCACACAGGAGTCTGAGGTACAGCATTTCTGTAAAATGACCTCTCAAGCCTGGAATTTGCATTGTTCATTTATAGACCCCTTAAGGGAACGGTCTGTGGGACTTGGTTGGGTAGCAGATAAGCAGTATGTTAAAATACAGCACAACTGGGTACATGGTAATTAAACCAACATGATTAGAAATGATTTTGTTATATAAATTCCTGGAGAAAGAACCCCAGAAATGTTTCAAAATTTTAAAAAAAAAGTCAATTGCTTTTAGTTCATCTGAAACAAAAATGAAAGAATTTTTATCGAAAGCGCAAAAAAACCCAAAACACAATAAAGCTTGGAAAATGCATAACTCCTTTGGAATTCTCTAGTTTCTATCCCCCAGGAGCACTGTTTGACCCTGAAAAGATTTCATAAAGACCAAGAATCCAAGGCATGTCTTGGATATTTGAAAACTAGGCATGAAGAGCTCTTTACAGCTCCATGGACACCTTTACCCTAACTTGGGAACTAACACAAATTTAAATGTTGAGAGATCACCTGAAAATAATTCTCCAGGGCATGGAATGAATGCCAACAAGACTCAGAGTTTAATATTTTAAATGTAGTATTTAATGACCTCCATAGCACTCTGCAGAAAGGATGTAGGGCAGCGTGAACTCAGGACCATATCAAAAGCGAAGGGACACACCACGGGTACCCACTTAGCTCAGGGCTCACACTAAGGAAGAGTCAGAGACAAGACCAATGGACTCCCTGTCCTATCAGGCTAGACCTGCTGCTGCTCTCGGCCAGTCTCAGGGGGCACTACAATGAGAAACTAGAATTGTGGCCCAGCTCTTGTGCTCATGGGGTTGGACTCTTTTCTGGAACTGCTGGCCAAAAGAGCTCCCAGATCGGGCACGCAGAACCCATACTACAGACTTTGAGGGACCCAGTGTGTGGGCCCAGCAAGCGGGGTGGTTGGTGTGGACTTGATCCTAATGCGACTCCATCATGAGATGTAATGCTCCACCTCAGAGGATACCAACACAGAGGCAAAATGTTCTGCTTTTTCCTTAAATGACTCCAGAGTTCTAGTGAAGCCTTAGAGAAACCTGGTTGTGTTCTCGTTGAAGTTTCTTTCATGATAAATAATGGCATTTGATTTTTTTTAATCCTCACCCGAGGATATTTTTCCATTAATTTTTAGAGAGAGTGGAAGGAAGGGGGAAAGACAGAGAGAGAGAAACACTTATGTGAGCGAGACACATCAATTGCTTGCCTCCTGCACATGCCCTGACCAGGGCCAGGGATAGAGCCTGCAACAAAGGTCTGTGCCCTTGACTGGAATCGAACATGGGACCCTTCAGTCCGTAGGCTGACACTCTATCCACTGAGCAAAACTAGCTAGGGCAGCATTTGATTTTTATAAGAGGTTGTCTTACCATGCTCTTCTGAGAAGGCCGCCCACTGTCAATGATTTAGCACGTATGTAAATGACTATGTAACATACAGCCTCAGACCACACTGTCCTTAGGGAGGTTTGCCTGCTTTTGCCAAAGTGACTTAAGAATATTACAAATCGTTTATAAACTCCCTCATCTTTCTTAAATGTGAGTGTGCGTGTGTGTGTGTGTGTGTGTGTACGGAAAAATAGAAACAAACAAATCCTATGGTAAGAAAGTAACTTCTGTAACATCTAATATAGAATATAAAATTTTTATAATTTGTTGTTCCTCTCTTCCAGGGCCAGGAGTCAATTCATGTTTGAAAGATATTCTGAAAACATTACAAATCTGGGACTCCTCCACAAGAATAGAGTTAACCTAAGATTTTAATTTGACATGGATTTTGGATATGACAAGAAATGTCTATATATTGTTTTTTCAGTTGATGAGGCTCTTTCTTTCATTTCTCCCTCCAAAGTTTTAGAAAAACACTTTTGCTTTGAAGCAGACACTCTGAACACTGTGAGGCCAGTAATTAGCCTGTGTTTGCAAAATAATCCCGCTCGCATACACGAAACTGTCTACTTATATAGAAATTCAATTCATCTAGGCCGAAATACTGTAATAATAAACGTTGGCATCCAAATCAAAACAGAATGAGACTCCCAACAAATGTTTATGAAAACATTTGTTTTCTTACAGTCAGTTTGATTTGGAAATGTGTGCCTCTGCCTGTGTACAAGGACCGTGTCTTTGGGGCTCTGTTACTCCCCGACCTCCTGAAAACCAAACACACATCTTAACCCTGGCCCCACACATGACACGACTCACCAGAAACAGGCACCATAATGAGAAGTCAGGCCTTTCAGGTATGTCACTCGGAGACCACCCTATGAGAGGGGGCCCTCAGATCACAAAGCCAAGGTCCCTTATGGCAACCCTGGTAATTAGACACTAATAATGGGTTGAAGGTGTAAAATTCACCTCCATGCACCACCAACAGACTAAACAATCCAGACGAAGAGAGAAAGATTTTCCGGAGGAGGAGGAGGGAGAATTCATTATACCACTACCAGGAAGCTTGCAAAAGCAGACCAACTTTGACAAACGTAATGGAATAACAATGGCTATTTTGAAACGAATGGAGTTAGATCTGAGTCAAACCCCCAGACCTCATTAGGAATCATTAGAATGCTGGCATTTTATGAATTAACATGAGTTTGAATTCCATTCTTCATAGTGCCAACTTCAACAGTTACCGTGGTGTCTGACATTTTTTTTTCATTCATTACTTTGCTTTTCACAAAGAGAACATTGGCTTCACACTCAAGGAGGAAGAGAACCCCCGCTGGGCACAGACGGTCCTTGTCTGACTGTGAAAGCAAACGTGTGCCTTACATAGAGAAGGGACGCCATCACGGTGGGACGATGCCTAGATGCGATGCTTCGGACAGACAGTTTAGAACTGAGTATTCTTCTTTTTGTTCTGAAGTGCCTCTATTTTTCTCGGAAAAGACAGTGTTTTGTGGTAAAAGGACAAGAATCTCCATTTTGTTGGTGACTTTTTCAGAAAAACATACACAATTTACAACTTGGGAAAATGTTTTTAAAATAGAGCTAAATTACTGCTTTTAGGAAACTTTTCAGGTTACTAGAATTTATTCTTCTAAAAGACTTGAAACAGGAATTGAAGTGTGTAAATGGGCTTATGAAGATAAGTTAGTATAGAACTAATCTGAAGTTTATCACATGGGGTAGCAGGGCTCCCACGACTACTGGTGTCCAACAGTGGTCATGTTCGTGAGGATACCTAGGTTCTGTAATAGTTGTTTCCAAATTTGCGACTAATTTCTATTTGACCATATATAGTGTTAGCAGCTTCTGATAGTCCAATTTTATCCATGAAATTAACGACTAATTATGATTCAAGATAATTTGAACGCTGTGTGTGTGTGTGTGTGTGTGTGTGTGTTGTGATGGGTGGGTGGAGAGGAGCAGGGCAGGGATAAATATACTCTTTAAAGGATTAAAACATCCAAGTCTCCTTTTCGCTGAGGTAAATAACAAAACACATTGTCAGTTTTCATTTGTTTAGTCACAGAAGCCTGCACGCGAGCTGTGAACTTCCAGGGAGTTTTGAAATGAGGCTCAGATGTTGAACCACCAAAATAACTTATCCTGATTACCTACCAAAAATCACAGTGAGCAGCTGCAACATCTGCCAGCGTGTTTCTAGTTTTCTCAAAAGACAAGGGGGCGGCTGGGGCGGGGGTTTCATTGTTTCTCCCAGGAGAGCTGAAGCCACTTCCTCATACATCCAGGTCCTCCTCACGTTTAACTGAGGTCTCATTCCACAAACATAATGCTGCCCCCTGCCCCCCCGACCCGACAACAAGAATGACCTGAAATGTGTGATAGCAATAAGGCTTTTGAGTTTCAGCACAGTCCAGTCTAGCTCTCACAGACTGGGGCCGAGGGTCCTCTCAGGACAACCGTAGCATGGGGACAAGGCATAGGCAGTCATCTTTCTCAGTTGTTCATTGTAATTTGTCTATCACTAATTTGAATGCACTAAAATAATATGGAGAAGAATGTTTCTTGACTCAAAGGAATACAAAAAGAAATCTTACCTTTTGGGATCTATAATTTTGTAGAGTTTTCCATTGTGAGTCTGGGTCATACTTTTGCTACTTGATAGAATGTAAATTTCCCCTATGTAGAGAGAAATGCAATAAATTAATCCACAGTATATGTATTTGTACATGTGTATGTGTGCGTGCTCCCGTGCATGTGCCCCCCCCACACACACACACCCTCAGGAAGATCACCTGCCTAAAATCTATGACAGAGTCTCACACGTCTGCCTTCACAGCGCACCCAGATTCCGCCCACTTCTCTCTGTATTCCACTGCTACTCGTGTGCAAACGGTATTAATTTCTCACCTGGATTATGCAACAGCCTCCTAAATGATCACCCTGCTTCTAGCCTTGTCCTTCTGTGTCCTCTCTCAACATACCAGCCACAGTGATTCTTGTAAACCAATTAGATCCTGTGAGCTGGATCACACTCTTGTTTCGATAGCCTCCAATGGCTTCTGATCTTTCTCAGAGCAAAGCCAAGTTCTGACAGTGGCCTGTGCTGTCTCCCCTCACCTCTTATTCTGCCTCATTTGCAATGCTTTGCCTCCTTGTTCACTCCTTTCTAGCTTCACTGGCCTCTTGGCTTTGACCACACAAGGTAGGTTCCTGTCCCAGGCTCCTGCCTCAGGTTCCTGTCTTTCAGTAGATCCCCAGTGGGTTCACTCTCCCTCCCTCCTTCAAGTCTGTGCTTAAACATCATCTTTGTTGACTATACAACTTAAAATTCCACTTGTCCCAATCCCCAGCAATCTATATCCTTCTTCACAACTAGATTTTTCTCCTAAGCACTTATTACCAATTGACATACAGTATATATTTTTAACATTTACTTTCATTGTCCTCCTTTAGAATATAAATTTCATGACAACAGTTTGGATTTTTCTAAATCTACTGCTATATCTGCAACACCTAGAACAGAGCTTTGCACAGAATATATTTGTAGAATGAGTGTTGAATGGCAAGTTTTATCTTGATTTATTCTGCCCAAGACAGAAAGGTTTGATTACCCTGTTGTCACTGTTAATTGATAATTTGAGGCTAGATGGAATTGGGGTACTCGTCTTTTTAATGTTTAGCTTTTTAAACAATATAAATAAAAATTTGGAAAAACAGAAAGAGAGAGACCCTGTTGCTCAATCCCAACTCTGCCTCCCTAACTCTCAGTGCTAGGCTGTGTTCATGATGGTGAAATACAACAGACAGCAGACCCTGTCAGGAGAGAACCACTCTTGTTTACTTATTACCAGTACCTCCATGTAATTCAGTGTTCAGAGTGGATCACACGAATAGGAAACTAGAATCTATACTTATGATTACATGTTTATAACATTTATATTTGGTTCTCATTCATGAAATAGTTCTTGATTTATTCTATACTTCCCTATTCCCCTCTATTTATTGTGTATTAAGAAAACCCTACTACTTTCTTACTTCTGAAATGGATGTGACATGGCTTATGCTCAAAACTTACACACAACAGAAAAAGTAAAAATGAAAAACAAAGGAATGTAAGTAAAAAATGAATATTTATCTTATCAAGTTCTTTAGATAGTTTACCTCATTTGATCCTTCTTACAAACCCATCCTGATTTTATAATAAAAAAACCCCACACATAGGCCTGGCCAGTGTGGCTCAGTGTTTGAGTCTTGACCTATGAACCAGGAGGTCAAGGTTCAATTCCTTGTTAGGGCACATGCCTAAGTTGTGGGTTTGATCCCCAGTGTGGGGCGTGCAGGAGGCAGCCAATCAATTATTCTCTGTCATCATTGATGTTTCTATCTCTCTCTCCCTCTCCTTCCTCTCTGAAATCAATAAAAATATATTTTTAAAAACTACATAGGAAAAACAGACTTTTAATACTTTTTGTATCAAAAATTCCAAAACTTATTTCCTTAAATGGCTCTTAATTAAACCCAGTTTCACATTAAATCAATATTCAGTGAAAGTATATTTTTAATTATAAAGTATACACGACATTGTAGCTTTGGGGAAGGAAGGATTGTATATGTTTTATTTATTGGTTCTGCTCCCAACATAGTATTAAGTGTAGACAGACACTTGGATATTTTAACCAGTGATGCTGCTGCTTATAGGATGATTGAGGGTGAATCATTTGTAGCAAGGTCTAGGGAAATCTAAATGATTCAGTCACAGCATCTAAATATTCATCTCTGACTCTGGCACAAGAAAGTTAATCCTAATTTGTATTTTCAAATAAGAGTTGGCCAATGAAATGTAAATTATAGTACAGAGAATTTAAGAGAGAAAAAAGGTATCTTTCTGGGTCCTATAAGTGGGGAAGGAGAATATCAAGGGAAAATTAATTGTAAAATGCTTCCAATGCTGGAACAAGAAAAGGACAGATTGGATTTCTCTTCTTTGAATCATTATATTCCTGTGGCTCTGAAATATGTGTTCTGTGTTTCAGGAATCTTGTCTGAGTTCCTTGTTAACCTAAGTAAATGGCGTGTAATGATTTCTGACAAATCCTTCATTTGGTGCAGGAAAACCAAGTCTGTACGGTTAGAGAAAATATTCTGATTTCGATGGGAAATGGGAAACACAACTCTTTCTTAACACTGAGAAATTCATCCCTGATGTTAAAGGGGCATAGTTGTCATTTTTCTTTAAAGGGAAGTATTATGAAAGTGACATTTATCTCTAAAACTTAAAATTAGTGGCATTTCTACTCTTTGATCACATTCTAATTTTAACTTCTTTATGTAGACATTATGATAATACTAGAGGCTCGGTGCATGAAATTAATGTACTGGGCGGGGAGTCCCTCAGCCAGCCTGTGCCCTCTCGCAATCTGGAACCCCTCTGGGGATGTCTGCTTGCCAGTTTAGGCCCGCTCCCTGTGGGGATTGGGCCTAAACCAGCAGTCAGACATCCCTCTCGCAATCCAGGACCCCTCACTCCTTACTGCCTGCTTGCTCACCACTTCTTACCCTTCTTACCACTCTGCTTGCTGCTCCTTCCTTAGCGCTGCGGCAGAGGCAGGAGAGGCTCCCACCACCACCACTGCACTCACCAGCTGTGAGCCCGGCTTCTGGCTGAGTGGCGCTCCCCCT